TGTCTAACTGAACTTCGACTCCAATCCCACCCTTTGCTTTCATCTATAAGAACACCTCTACTGATCATTAGTTTATCTTCAATTGGTGAATACAACTTTTATGCATCAGTCAGATGATAACCTACGAGCATCATGACTTCACTTCGATCATCCGACTTCTTTATCAATTTTTCAGGTACATGCCTGAAACACATTGATCCAAAAACTCTAAGATGACTTACATTTGGCTTCGACCCTATCCAAGCCTCATGCGGTGTCTTTTCGACTATCTTCTTCGTTGGGCATCTATTTAGAATGTATATTGCTGTCGAAGCTGCTTCAGCCTAAAATCTCTTAGGCATATTCTTAGCTTTCAACATACATCTTGTCGTGTTCAATACACTTCTATTCTTTCTTTCATATATGCAATTATGTTGAGGCGTATAGGGTGCAATAATCTTATGCTCTATACCTTCCTCTTTGCAAAATCTAGCAAATTCAGCAGAAGTATATTCACCACCACCATCAGTTCTTAACTTCTTCAATTTGCAGCCACTTTGTTTCTCAGCATGCAACTTGAACTTCTTGAACTGTGTGAATACCTCACTCTTCCTCTCAATAAGGTAAATCCACATATGTCTGGTGAATTCATCAATTAAAGTAAGGAAATACTTGTTATCTCCATTAGAATTTACTTCAAAGGGTCTACACACATATAAATGAACCAGCTCCAGTTTTTGCCTTGATCTTATAGGCAAGTCACGTTTGAACGCCTTCCTTGCATGTTTGGCTTTGCAGCACTCCTCACATGTCTGCTTTGGTTCCTTCACATACGGAAACCCAAGCAACATTATTTTCTTATTGAGCATACATAAACTCTTGAAGTTTAGATGTCCATACTTGTGATGCCATAGCCAGTTCTTGTCTTCTTCTGTAGTTGAAGCAAGACATTTGTGATTTGATGTGTTCAGTTTAACCTTGAACGTTTTGTTCTCCACCAATGGTGCTTTCATTATTAGCCTCCCATCAGCCCTATATACCTTCATCTGATTATTCTCCAACTTCATATTGAAGCCTTTTGCAAGTAATTGGCCTACACTTATCAAGTTACTTGTCATCGAAGGTACATATAGAACTTCAGTGATAGTAGCCTTTCGACCATCCTTTCTGATAATCGAAATATCTCCTTTACAACCTGATTTGATATGCCTGCCATCTGCAAACTTTATCACCTTTTTGACTGACTCATCTAACTTGGTAAACCAGTTTTTATTGCAAGCCATGTGGTTGCTACATCCTGAATCCAGATACCACATGTTGTTTTTCTCAGTGTTTGACTGAGTGTTCACCAGTAACAACACATCATCATAATCACTACTTCCAGCTCGTGCATATTGAGCTTCATCACTATCTTTGACTTTGCAGTTTTATTTCTTCGACAATCTCTAGCATAGTGGCCAAATCCTTGACAATTGTAACATTGCACCTCTTTCGTGTCAACTTTCTTCCCAGAATACTTGTTACCCACACCTTTCAAATCAGTATTCTTGCTCGACTTCTCATCACCAACAAGATTCTTTCGCTGTTTCGACTTCTCTTTTTCAGCTTTCTTGTTGAATCTTGATTGCAATGCTTGTTCAACCGCCTTCTCTCTTTCTGAGTTTCTCTGCTACAGCCTAATTTCGTGAGCCTCCAATGAAGCTTGAAGTTCTTCCAACTTTATCTCAGATAGATTCTTGGCCTCTTCAATTGTTACAACAAAGTAATCAAAATCTGCAATTAGAGATCTCAATACCTTTTCTATCTTTTGCAGATCCGTTAGTGCTTCACCACACACCTTCATCTGGTTTGTTAGCGTCATCACTCTTGAGAAATATGCAGAAATAGATTCATCCTCTTTCATCTGAAGTATCTTGTACTGCTTTCTCAGAGTCTGCAACTTCACCTTCTTCGGTTTCTCATCTCCACCATACAAGGACTTCAGCTTTTCCCAAGCTCCTTTTGTTGTTTCTTCTTCAATTGTCTTCTAAAATATGTCACAATCCACACACTGGTGAATCAAGAACAGCGCCTTACAATCTTTCTTCCTCTGATCTTTGTGCGCAGCTTTCTGGGCTTCCGTAGCATCTACATCCAATTGTGATATTCCATCATTCAAGATTTCTACAATATCTTGAAATCTGAAAATAACCTTCATTTGTGCCACCCATCGTTGACAGTTTTCACCTTTGAAAACTAGTAGATTCGCTGGAAACTATGTTGATGTTGTTGATCCATTTGCCATTAGATTCTCCCTGAATCGCAAACTAGCTCTTGATACCAATTTGTTGGAACAAAGGATTTAAGAAAGATGATTTTATGAAAAGAAGAAGAAGAGAAGAGAGAGATTATGAGTTAGTTAAGCGTAACTAACTATCTAACTGATTTGTATTATTGTTGCTGCTTGTTATCTACAAACATAATCGTTCTTTATATAGGCAAAAATGTCCAGACCCAAATACATGCTAAAAGCCCAAATAACTACATAGTAAGAATTAACCAACTAACAATATTTCCAGAGATTCTAAAAGCAAAGAAGTTGCGATTACTTGCTATTCAAATGCTAATTGATGTGGAGATAAGGAAGATCAAAGAAGCACAATTGGTTACTACGTTCAAGTATTTGGTGCCTCAATCTCATGGTGCTCGAGAAAGCAACATGTGATCACATTATCATCGTGTGAGACTAAATATATAGCAGTCATATGTTGCTTCTTAAGCAATCTAGATCAGATTTGTGCTGGAAGAGATCGAGATCGAAGTGAAGAAATCTCTTGTGTTGCAGATCGACAATAAGTCAGCCATAATGTTTTTGCAAAGAATCCAATTCTACATGAGTAAGCACATCGAAGCTAGATTCCACTTCTCAAGGGAGAAGGTAAATCAAGGTGAACTTGAAATAATGTATTGCTCAAGTGAAGTACGGTTGACCGATATTTTCACCAAAGAAATGAAGATCGACAAATTCTTAAACTTGATAAAGAAATTAAGAATAATTCAGATTGACTATGATTCATTTGTATTCGACAAATTAAATTATAAAGGAGTATGTTGAGATATAATTCAAATTAGTTACTCGGTTAGCAAGTTAAGTAGCCCAAGCCCAATATAGTTAGGGTTAGAGTTTGTTATGTTAGTTACGTAGTATACAAGTCAGTTAGTTGTATATAAATACATATTGTATTTCCATTTTTGTTATCATATTCAATAATACAATCCTATTTTACATTCTTTCTCTTTCTCACCTTATTAAAAGTGCCTTACGCACTAACAATTTTCAATCTTCATATATGGTTTGTGTTTTAAGGGCGTCCGAATTTTAAATTTCGAAATTAAGAGTTATTTTAGAATTTACACATGGGGCATGAGTTGTTGGAGGGTGTAATGAGTTACACTAAGATAATATAAGAGTTTTTTTTCTCTCTTGCACTCACTATGAATGATGCACATCAACAGGTTAAAGGAGTTTGGTTTTGTTCAATTTATACACCCTTCATTTAGTGTTAATTTATGAGAGATAGACACAAATGTGAATGAATCGTATAAATTTAAAAAGTGGATCACACTAACAAGTCCACTAATTATTCATTTGTATTGATCTCTTTCGTAAAGGAACGTTAACTTTTAATTCTAAAGGTGGACTCCCCTGTAGACCTCAATAAATTTTTTTAAAATTTTAACTATTTGATCTTCTTGCCAAATATCAGAATTTTGCAAGTCTATTAATCTAACATTAAACAATGAGTAGGTCTATTGAATCTAACTTATGAAATAGTTGAGCAATTAAACTTAGTCCCTCAAACTCATGAAATAGCAAATTAATTATTTAAGCAAAAGAACATCAACCAAATTTAGTCTCAGCCAAAATACCTCTTAACATCTAAAATTAGCAGACATGATTCAATTTAAGAGATTAAATTGCAATTTTGTAAATTTGATAGACTAAATTGACCAGTCTTTACAATTTCAATGAATAATATGACTTAGAACTCATCCATTACCCTACCTACATATCTACATGTTAGTTCTTGGTTTTAAGAGTCATTAAGACAGTGATAGTAATACTGTTTCTGGCTGATTCTGTTAGTATTCACCTTACATGTCACATATGGGAAAACTCCATTTGAGGCAGTGTAAGCGAGAAAACCTCCTGTGATCAGATTTGTGCATGTCGAAGCTAAAGTAGATGTTGTCAACCGCAAGCTCTTCGATAGAGATGAAGTGCTGAGCTAGTTGACGTATAAACTGTGTAAAGCAAAAGAGCAGATGAAGAAATATGTGGAGAAGAACCAAAAGTTACGAGTTTTTAAAGTGGGAGAATAGGTATCTGTCAAACTTTGTCCACGAAGACAGCAGACGGTTGCAATGAGGGTGAGAACCAGAAACTAGCACAATGTTAATATGGACCTTTTCTGGTTAAGGAGAGGATGTCGAAACTCTTAGAGGCTGAGAAGAAGGGATCGATCAGATTCTCTATTCTACGGGCTTCTGTGCAATAAGAAGGAGGGATCTATCCTAATATCCCGGTTACAGCAGAGTTTCTTGCGTAAGCCCAAAAGCTCATCTTGGTAAATAAGTTCCCAATTGATATCAAGAAAACTAGAAACACTTGTGTTTTGTTTAGTTTTAATAGTTGAGACAAGACAAGAGAGTTTAACCGTCTTTTCAACTTCATCATTCTTCACAGTAAGGGGAAAAATGTTAAGATTTTAACAATAAATACCAGAACCAGGAAAAAGCAATGAGCGGGTAAACATCCATATCGAGCAACAATAATTGGCTAACAGCATAACTCTTTTGAAAAAATCATGTTACATATGTAGCATTAACAGGTAACAAGGAAAAATGAGTAGCGAAAATTGTATGGTTTTGTGGTGTGTTAAGAAAAAACCTTATCGGTAAACCTTTAACAGATATATTCACAAAGAATGTGAGAAAGAATCTGCATTTCTTAGTATGTATCCAAGCATCTTTGGGATTGTCTACTTCACGAACAAGTGAATAATTGCTCCAAAGTAGTCTTGCAGCTGAGAAAATGAAGTAGATGTTTGCATATCAAAACATTATACAAGGATCGATCAACCAAATGGAAGTAATAAACGGAATCAATGCATCAGATATTTCTCCATAAATATATGTTTAGTGTTTAGTGTGTGCAAACAATAATGCCAAACTTCACCTGAGTTGTAATACTTTTTCCGGTTTGACCTTCAATAACTAGGCCCACCGTGAGGCCAATCATCGCCCAAGCTCCATTAATTGCCTCAATTTGGCGTCTTTTCTACAATCACACCATAAAGTTGGTTAAATATATAGTTGAGCTGAGGAACATACATGGTTTCATCAGTATTATACTACTCATTTTCGTACTGTCTTTCACCTTGAGTTTTTCTTTTGCTTTAATTCTTTCCATTTGTCTGGCCGCTAATCGCTTGGCTTCCACAGGATCAACCATGATTACATCCTTTTTTGAACCATCCTTTCCTGAAGATACCTGTATAATTATTAATATAAAAGATATAGATCTCATCAAACATAAATAAAAAGGAAATGGCAGAAAGAGAAGGGGAATGAAAGAATACTTCACAGTTTACCCAATAAAACTTCTATTTGTTTTATTAGCATAAGTATAATATCCAAAAGAAGTAAGGTTTAAGCAAAAAAAAGTTGTAGCTTATATAAATATCAGTTCATTGCATCAAATAAAAAGAAAGGCAAACTGGAACACAATCATAATTGATGCATAGCATAGCAAGTTTGCTAGTTTAGACAATGGATTGATTTCAAGAAAGAACAGTTGAGGCTAAGTTTTAAAATATTATTTCATAAGAAGATAACACCCTTTATTTTCCCATAGAAAGGAAGAAGGAAGCAACAAAGCTATGTTTTAATTATTAAAATGCAACTAACAACAACATCAAGAACAACCAAGCCTTATCTCACTCAGTGTTATTAAATAGCGGCGCCATGACCGCTATGGCGGATATACATGTCGGTTTTTGGGCTCGCCGTAATGGTAAATATTGGCCGATATTGCAAGTTTTTCCGCCATATTCTGCTATAACGGCACAGCAAAGCAGACGGTACGGCGGGATTTTGGTTCTCCGCCATGGACCACCATCCGCTATCGACAACACTGATCTCACGAAGTGGGGTTGACTACATGGATCAACTTCCACCGTAATGTTCTATCCAGGATCATACTTCTATCCAAATCATTAATCTCGAAATCTTTCTTAATAACATCTCTTATAGTTTTTCTAGGTCTTCCTAAACCTCTAATTATTTGACTTCTCTCCATCTGATCTACTCTCTTTAGCATAGATTCTACAGGTCTTCTCTTTACATGTCCAAACTACTAAGACTATTTTCCACCATCTTTTCTGCTATAGGTGTTACCCCAACACTCTCACGAATATTGTCATTTCTAGTCTTATCATATCTAGTTTTATCAAACATTCAACGCAACATCCTTATCGCTACACCTACATAGTTTTCAGCAAACATAAATTCAAAAGTTCATAAAGAAAAACAACCAATCTCAAAAAAAAACTATCAAGTTTTTAACAACCAACAATACACATACATATACTGCAAATTATTCAATTTATGCATACATTGGGATTAGCAAGGACTCGAAATGCTTGACTTTGAGTTCTATGTAATGCCATGCCTGCATCTTGCTCTCTTCTCCATCCCCACCTAAAACAAAGAGGTTGATCTCATTAATTAACAATAACAAAACAAAGTCCTTACCCATTTACTTTGCACATTTGCCATGTGGATACACACTGACACAATACCGACACATGTGTTTACGTTCAATTATTTATTTAATCAAATTATTATCAGTATTAACGTGTCAGTGTCAGTATCAGTGTCAGATAAATCAAGTAGGCTTTGCACTTCCTAAAGTAAATCACAATTATAAGCTGCAAAAATTCTCCAAAACCTTAACAAAACTTGAATATACCTAAAAAGATAAAGGAATTCATAGAGTTTATAACCGAATTATTGTTATGAAATGATAAAGTTGAAATATGAAAAAGAAAAACAAGAATTTGAGGAGAAAGTGAAAAGGAAGGGGAAACTAGTTACTTGGCGATGGATGGAAGAGAGTGGTGAGAATGAAACGAAGCGAATTGAAGATTGGTTAATGGAAGAATGGTTGAAGCCATAGAGCTCAGAAGAATTTCGCTTTATCCTTTCCCAATTTATTTCCTTTCTTCTTTTCTCATTTTCCAACTAAATTAATTGATATACTATTGCTAGTAGATAGTAGATATTTATTTTAAAACATATTTCAACTTTGATAGATTCAGTTTTAAATTATTTGCTTAAAAATTGATTCGATCTTTAATATAGATAAGTTTTTGAACATTTAAATTATAAATTATAAATTTTTTATCACAAAAATATTATAAAATAATAAGTTTAAACCAATATATACTTAGTGTGGTTATATAACATAGATGATATTTACCATCACTCCTAATGAGTGAGACAACTTGAATTTTATTCTAGTTAATCAAAGAAGAACATGTAATATAGTCGATTTAGGATATCAATGAAGACAAAAAATATTTTCTCTTTTAGAGTGTAAGGTTATGATATAATTGGTAAGTACCTTAATCCAATTATTGAGAATGTTTTATTAGTAGAAGGTTTATATCATGATTTTCTTATTATTAACCTGTTGTAGGACAAAGGGAATGAAGTAACTTTTGAGTCGTTTGTATGTATCTAATATGTTGGAAGTGTACGATTATATTGAACTAGTAAAAATGTATTGTCTATAAAGGCTAAGTTTCAAATTATTGAGTTCTACTTTTTCAGTGTATATTTAAGATGATAAATAATTCAGTTTGTTTGTGAGAAAAATAGAAATTTTGATTCTCTTAATTACTAAAAATAAGAGTTTGAGTCTTTGATTCTTGTCGTCCAATATCACTCATACAAGTTTCATATCAATTTTAATGAGAATTTTTATTTTGTACAAAATGTCAAAATTAGTGATAATGTCTACTCTTATAGAAAATGAGTATTTTTGTCTATTTAGAAATCCTTTTAATGGAAAAGTACTTTCTCATTAGACTATGAGACACTTTCGAAATCTCAGACTGTTTGATTTTTCAATTTGGACACCGTTTATACCTTTTTGGCATATAAACGACGTTTGAGTGTTTTTACTTTCACAAAGAACCATTTTCTTTTAAAAATAGAAAACTCAAAACAAAATAGTGGATTCTCGCTATTATTGATTGTCACAAAACTTACATGAAGTGTGTCGGTACGATGACCCTCGTGTCTCCGACCCTAATACTACCTATTCAGGAGTAAAATTCATACATGTTCATAATAATAACAAAACTTGCTCCAAGGAGTCTTGATAACACAAATTGCTAGAATGGAAATGCATGAAAATAAGAAAAAAAAATATATTGAATTCTAAACCAAAAAGTGATGTCTTTCTCCTAAGTTTTCTAGCTATTCTTAGGTCCTATTATATTTTTTGTAAATGTGCTTAAGAGAAAGAAAATATATTTTGGAGATTGCATTTATCGTGAAAATCTGAAGTTTTAGAAAGTCGAACGAAAATTTGAAAAATAGAAATTCGGATAAAAAATCGGTTGGTGAATAGTAACGTCCAAACGAATGAATAGTGATGTCCGTACGGATGGATAATGATGTTCGTATGGTGAATAGTGTTGTTTGTATGGTGAATAGTGTTGGTTCGGTCCATGGATCCATGTATAATTGGATTGTGATTTTGGACTTTATTTGTTGGGTATTTGCTATTATAAATATGTATCTCTTATATGTTTGCAGGTGTGACAATCTTAGAGCTTATAGAAACAATGGAGAGTAAGGGTTTAAAGGCATATCATAGGATTTTGGTTATTCTCAAGAGAAACCTTAGAAAGGAAAGAGTTTTGGAAACCTTTGGAGTTATCTAAGGTTATTGGGAATTGGAAAACATGTGTTTACACCTTGAGATTGAGTTATTCATATATTAAAGGTTGAAGAGGTTGGGAAACACTTGGTAGAGAATAGGGTAATTCTTGGGCATTCAAAGTTGTTCTTGGGACCTGAAGGCGAATGCTATTTTTTTGTAACTCATTTGTAATCTCTTGTAACAACTTTCTAAGTATAGTGAATTGGAGAGATGCTCTATCCTCCAGAGTAGATCGTTTAATCGAACTGGGTAAATAAACCTTCATCTTTTTCTCGCCTTATTCTGTTATATTATTTGTGTGTAAATTATTATTGTTATAAACTATTTATTTTGGTTTCTACTATTCTTTGCCTCACAAATTGATATTGAATTTTATTGTAATTCACAACAAGTGGTGCGGTGAGCGTGGAGCAAAGAGGTATTGAGCACCATGGGCAAATGGGCGATCGAGAAATTTTCCAGTAACTGGTCGCGGCTTTAAGAGTCTATCAGGTTAACTAACTGGAAGTGCACAATCTAATCGCGTAGTTTTAAAAGATATCGAACCCACAAAGACTAATAATCAAACTAATGTTATCTATCGTTACTACGTAAAGCTAAGGCGAATAATTATCTTGGGGTAAATGATAATTAATACTAAACTAAAATTAATTGGAAAATATTATAATAACAAGAGACCAGAATGTTCATTCAACGTACCTCAGGGACTCAGTAATTCGTTGGCTTGTAGTTACGTCAGAATAGTGTTTAGTAGAAAATATCTCACACTCTCGTGGTTTTGAATAAAGTCATATTCCTTAACCATGGTATTTTGTTCTTGCTTTCCCATTCTAATCAAGGAACGCGTTTTGAAAACTGAACAAGTTCTAATCGACACCTAAAGTGCTCTCTCCCTCTTTAGGAATCGATGCCCCGTTCTTACTATCTGGTTCGATCCCCACATTCTCGTAGTGTCGGCTCAAACCTTATTTAATTTCTCACTCTCGTGACAAAGTCGTGTTAAATAACCTCCCACTCTCGTGACAAAACTATTTAAATTAGGTTTAAGAAACGAAGACCGAAACTGAATTTTCAATTAAGTTATTAAGCCAACTTATTACCGAGTCCCGTCGGAAACAATGATACTCACATATCGGACTCTATACGCTTAGCCGGACATATTACTTATTAAAAATGCATTAAACATGGCCAATGAGATGAAGACAAACATGGTGATGAATTAAACAAACAATGATTATAATGCGGTAAATAAAAACCTGATAAAACATAAATAAGGAACTTTTAATTGCTGCTAAGTATGCCGGCAGGATTACAATCAAAATTCATATAATATTCGCTTTTCGGTTTGTCATAGCTTTGCAAACAAAAAATTCGACCTTAGAACTAAGAAGAATATGGTTTATATAGTGTTACAAGTCCAAAACTGGTTCCAAGAACTTGTAAACCTGCTTGAGAAAAGTCTAGGAAAGTGGAGGAAGAAGTGGTATGTTCTGTTTTCCACGTTTTCTGGTCTTCTGGTGCATGGAGACCACCATGGGCTCATGGCGACCTTCATGAGTCAAACTTCACTAAATGACGTGGCTGATGGCCATGGCATCCGCCATTGTGATGGGGGAAACCGCCATATCAGCAGAGGCTAATTTCTGAATTGTTTTGCTTCCTTTCCTTCCTCTTCTTCGATTACGATGCATATCTCTTCTCGAATCAGCAAGATACTTAAAGTACAATAAAAACGACATAAAAGCAAGATAAAAATGAGAAATGAAACAAGATAGCATGTGAATCAAGTCGCAAAATGTGATGCATTTTCAAGTCATCAAACTCCCGCACACTTAGACCATTGCTTGTCCTCAAGCAATCAACCAACACAAAGCAATTTAAAGCACGCGTTTAAAAACATGCACATAACAAAGACTCTAATCATACGTGGATGTTAGGCTTTTGCTAAATCGATAGGTACTTAACAACAATATTAAGGATACCATAACGACACAACACCATACTCGTGGTCAAAAGCTCTCACCCTATGCAAACCAATATGAATCATTCTATTATAACTTAACCTATTGTTATTCATTTCTTTTCACCTATTTTCATTCAAGCGCAATCACATTAAGCATGTTATCCTTACACTCACATAATAAGGAAACCTATTAGTGATTATGATCATCATTACACGGGGTTCTGGTAACTAAAGTGGCACACCCCTTTTATTACCCAAGTGAAGTTGTAGGGGATCGAATCATAATCCGCCCTACCAATTCTAATCACTAGATACCAATGGACCAACTAACATGGGCCGTTATTTTTAAGTTTTTGTTGGTTCAACAACCTTTTGGGCTAACTGACTGGGTGAGGGTCACCTAACTTAGTAGGCGCATTCCCTTAGTTTTTCTTATAATTAATTAGTTCTTGATCATTCACTTATTTTCATCAGCCTCCCTATATAGTTTGTGCTTAAGATGGGGCCGACTGATAGTATAAACTACTTAAGGTTACTTGGAGACTTAACTTAAGGTCTCAACATAATAGGTACTCAAATTGATATTGCATATTCAGGGGGTTTAAGGTGCCAAGACAGTTAGATTTTATTTTTTCTTTCCTAAGTCTTTCTAACAAAGCCTAAAGTTCAAAACAACTTATATACTCTTAGAGTGTCGTGGCATGAAACAAACAATTTTTTTCTTCTGTTGGGGGTCAATTTAAAGGGAGTTTTCAACAAAAGAAAATACATACATAAATGACCCGATATCCATTACTATTATTAAAATAAAAACTAAAAAAATGGAAATACTAAAAACAAGAAAATAAAACTAAGAAAGCGATAAATCTACCTAGAAAGCAATAAATAAAAGCGATAAGGCTTCCTCCTCCACACTTAAACCAAGCATTATCCCCAATGCAACAATATATGGTGGAAAAGGAAGGTAGAATATAGAGTGCTACCTACTGGTGGCGTCAGCCACGTGCTCGTCCACGCCCACCATTACCAGGCTGGTGAGGTGGCATACACACATGTTAAATGTATTCTTGCAAGCCTTTCACATGTACTATCATAGCCGAAATTTCATCAATCATGTCTGACATGTTATGTTCATTCCTGTCAGCATAGTCATGTTGATCGTGCCACATCTGCTGGATGATTTGTATCATCTCAATTTATTGAGCTTGTATGTCTTGAATCCTTTGGTCGCGCTGGGAATCCAATATGCTAGGTTTACT